TGCCAGAAGCAAAAGTTGTGGTGTTCAAATTCAGAGGAATTCGGCAACTTCACTGTGAAGTCAATACAAAGTCAGCCACATATATATACTAAGTGAAGCAGGTTTCTGCTTTAACTAGACTTTTTTTTCCCTAATTTTATTTTCCCCTCCATATCTGCAGTTGAATTTTAAAAAACCCAACAACAACAAAAACAAAAGAGAGCCCAGCAGACCATGTAAGAACCTTCCAGTTCCCGAGCACTGAGGTCAGAGATGGCTCTCACTGACTTCACTGTACAAAATCAAACTCCTTCCTCTCCAGCAGTTTATGGAGGAATGAAAGGAGATTACAGGAAGGAATGAAACAGATGCATTCTTGTGTAGCTGAGCTGAAAAAATGGAAGACAAACACACAGCTGTTCTTTTGCTGGACAAGGCTTGGTAACAGGTGAAACAACTGCACACTTTTAGATTTCATGATCCTAGTAAATACAGTCAGATTTGTGCCTCTGATACGAGAATTGCCTCCTTGGGCTATTTTAAGTGAATTCAGTTCTGCTGATCCACTCCAGTTGCAAGCTCATTTGCTGCTTCTTGGTTGTCCCCTACCCAATTTGATGGCCATTTAATGAAAGGAATAATTATATTGAGAGGACTCTACAGACTTTGATCGTTTTTCTTTTTTTCAAACCAAATTCTTTACTTCTCCAGCTGGGTGACTGAGGCTTTTGTAATGGTAGAGGAAGCACTGAAAGTACATGGTGCAGACACTTGCCCAGGCATAAGTTGGTATGGATGTGATGAAATTTTCTTTCCATGAAAATTTTAAGACAAGACTTACTCGTATACCAGTGTATACTGAAGATAAAGAGGTTATTCCTTTGGTACCATTTTTCACTATTTTTGGTAAAACTCAAAATAAACAATTGCTTAAATCTCTTCAGTGTTTGCACTTCAGCAAATTCAGTATGTGGAAGGAAATCCAATGCAGCCACAGGAATCTTGGATTTCTGTTCATTTTTGGAAAAAATGTTTCGTATTCATTTCTCAAATAGAAACGCACATGGTTCAGTAGAAAGGGGAGTATTTTTTTGTGCTGTTTTTGCCATTGCAATGGGTATTCATGTTGCAATTTCTCATTCAGTAAACTATGTCAGTTTTGCAAACTTTTCTCTTTTTTTACTCGTTTTAATCAGAAGGCAGCCTCTCAGTAGGAGAGCCCTCAGGAGGTGTCTGCATCCATAGTGAAATCTATTAGCTTATCTATGAATCCTGATTTCAATAATTAAAAACCTGATGGTCTCTTTTGTTCGTATTGCTTTAGGCCTTCCAAAGACAAGTGCATGAAAGCCTGACTCAGCTGGAACTGATCAATAAACAGTATCGCCGCCTGGCCCGGGAGAACCGCACTGACTCCGGCTGCAGCCTCAAGCAGATGGTTCATGAGGGGAACCAGAGATGGGACAACTTACAAAAGCGAGTTACCTCCATCCTGCGCAGGCTAAAAGTATTTTCCCATTTCTAAGCCCTTCAGTTTCACTGCTGTACTTATGAATCAGGGGTACTCCAGAAGCTTCCAGTTTAATGCATTTGCATAGTGATTTTGAGGGGAGTTCTACCTTTGGAAGAGGAAGGGAGCTTATCAGTTCACTTTGTCTGAGGTAACCAAGCATGAAGTCTATAGGGAGATGCTCGGTGACCTCGAACACCACCTCCTTCATAGAAGATAACTTTCATAGGTCACCTAATTGCAGCTGTAGATGATGTTACTGAAAAGGGAACCCTAGAAAGCACGTAGGGAATGAGAGAAGGTGTACCTGGGTGTAGGTTGGGTTTGAAGGGCATGAAAGCCGTTTCTTCAGAGAACCACTATTCCCGGGGTTTTTTGGGTTGTTTGGTCATTTCATGCCACTCGCATTTTCCACCTCCCAGCATTTTATTGGCCAGCGTGAGGAGTTTGAGACGGCACGTGATAGCATCCTGGTATGGCTAACAGAGATGGACCTGCAGCTGACCAACATTGAGCATTTCTCAGAGTGTGACGTCCAAGCAAAGATAAAGCAACTTAAGGTAAAGAATGGTTGAATGGTGACAGCAGGAGGGATGAGAGAAGGGATAGAAACGTTCATGGTGGGAAGAGAATTTAAGAAACGTTATGCAAAAATGCAGCCTGATACAGTCATTACTTGCAGGCTGAGACTTCAGCCTCAGAAGTTACGGGCTATTTTGGGTTTCAGTACGTAGTTTTCTGCTGGAGTGGAAGATCTCTGTACTGTGAAATTTTTTCAAAAAACCAGGGGTGATAGTCTCCATTCCCTAATCAAAAGAGGAAATGTCGATAAAAATTATTATTGTCAAGTCTCTGTTATTGCTGACACCTAAGAATTACTACATTTGTCAATCATTTCTGCATCAGAAAAATCATTATCTAGAGAGAAACATATCAAATGTGATGTTACCCAGAATTTCCGTGTGTTAGCTTTAGCATGCTGTGTTCGTTCTAGACATTTGGTCATGGACGTGGCTTATTTAGAGAAGAACTTTCTTTCCAAATACAACAAGTGAGGAATGAGATGGTAAACCATGAAGTATCACTGTTTTTGGCTGGAAAGACTGCGGAATGCTAAATTTGATTGCTTATTGTTGCGCATGCCAGAATATTTCAAATGATCCCTGCTTGTTACCCACACCATTCTTGCTGAAAAACTCTTAAGACTTGCATCCTTAAGAACTTAGGTTGTTGTAATGTTGATTTCATTGATGGAACATGGGGTTTTCTTTTATGCAGGCTTTCCAGCAAGAAATTTCACTGAACAACAACAAAATTGAGCAGATAATAGTGCAGGGTGATCAACTCATTGAGAAAAGTGAGCCCATGGATGCAGCTGTCATTGAAGAAGAACTAGATGAGCTGCGCCGTTACTGTCAAGAGGTCTTTGGACGTGTGGAACGCTATCACAAGAAACTCATCTGCCTTCCTGTGTGTATACTTACATACATACGTATTTATTTGGTTTGTTGCCGTTTTACAAGTGTGAGAATGAGGACAGAGAAGAATGTTGAAATCAACTAACATGAAACTTCTGTAACTTTCCAAAAGTCCTGTGGTTTAATTTTGTTACAACCCTGTCCATCTGCCTCCCTTCATTATATGCTATTTATGTCCTGTTCAGAGCACAAACTCACTAGAACTGGAGTTTTTGTAAATCATCATGAAAATCCATGCAAATTGGAGATTTATAAAACTTTATTAATTGAGGTAGCAGTGTGGTACTGGTAATAAGAACATCTCCCTGCTCTGTTAGATAGTTTCATTGGCAGCTTATTGAGTTCTGTTTTGTTTAAAAAACAATGATAAAATAATTCTCCCTATCAGAAGAGACAGAAATTTGTCTCCAGAACTAAAAACACAGCTGAATAAGTGAGGGCAAAATGATTTTTGGTAGCTCAAGCCCTACTGAAGGAAAGGAGCAAAACCTAGGGTTTTCAAAATCCGAAAGAATATGATGAGAGCAATGGTCACGATAAAGGTCAACATACGCTTCCTATGATTCCAGAGTTTTCTTTAACTTGATGTCTGCATTGCAATGGCATCAGTAAAAAGTCTGGAGACATTTGCTTGATGTGAGACTTTGTGGTGCCTTAAGTAATTAAAATGAGCTGGAATTACGAACTTTTTTGTTGCTTTGGTTTTTTTAGCGTGCCTTAAAATAATGAAGAGGAAGTGCAAAAGAATGCAAAACGGAAACCCCATCAGTGTGGTTGTTGCCTAATGCTAGTTTATTTCACTAACCCAGGCTGACCACGCAGTGCCTCTGCACGTTTCATTGATTAGTTCTGTTTCCATTATGCTTCTAGCTGACAGATGACGAACACGACCTCTCCGACAAAGAGGTGGATCTGGATGAATCAGCAGATCTCTCTGACATACACTGGCATGACAAATCTGCTGACAGCGTTCTCTCTCCGCACCCCTCTTCCAACCTTTCGCTGCCTCTTTCTCAGCCGGTGAGAAGTGAGCGATCAGGGCGAGATACCCCTGCAAGTGTGGACTCCATTCCCCTGGAGTGGGACCACGACTATGACCTTAGCAGAGACCTGGAGACAGCTGTTTCACGGGCACTGCACTCTGAGGAAGAAGATGGAGGACAAGAGAAGGATTTCTACCTGAGAGGAGCAGCTGGTATAGCAGGTATGGTGACAAATTGTGTGTCCTGTTCTCTCCTAGTAAAAAGAAGCAAATGTTACATGTGAGATTGCTTGGCTAAGATGCTCATGGAAAAGTATTGTCAATAGCCCCTGAAGATTTTAAATAGCTTTCCCTTAGTGATCCCAGTGGCCTTCTGGCCTTAGGCACAGTGATGGAGATTCCTGGATGACTACAGCCTTGGAAAATCACAAAGGCTTGTATGATGTGACAGGGAATTGGCTGTGTCTCTATGCTTGCGGCCTGCCAGATGGGATATGTCATCTGTAACAGCAACGCGTCATAAGTTATTCTGACTAGAAGAAACTATGCTGGATATGGCAAGAAGCGCAGAACAAACTGATGAAGAAATGGTGTGGGAGAGATCCACAGACAAAATCATCAAGTGCTTAAGTAAATCTTCACTCAGTCCTTACCCAGGCAAGAGTCCAGCAACTGAGTGTTTAGCCTGAGGTATGATCTTGGGTCTTGCTCTCCAGTGAAGCTGGAAGTCCTTTCTAAATGTGTGTGCTTTGTGTAATAAATCTTGATGAGTGAAAGTGCCCAAATGCAGCCAGTTCTTGGGGAAGACATACTGGTATATTATATTCTGATCTTGTGGCTGTCTTTTGCTTTCCAGGTCACTGGTCTGAAAAGAGTCAGGTTTGCCTGGATGTTGAGAATCTTTGTAGCAGGCTCCCTGTGTTTCAGTCTTCATCTTCTTTCCTTCTACGGAAAGGATGCTTGCTATTGCAACTGTTTTTATATTTCATCCCAAGAAAAGGACTCCTGCTGTAAAGAGGCAGCCGTTGCTGAGCTGTCAATTTAGACTGTGCTTGTATTTTTTCAGATGTAGAGATCCCTGAAACTCTTGAGGCCTATGTAACACTCACAGAAAACGTACTCAAAAATATCTCTGGTAGGCATCAAAAAAGACGAAGCATAGCTAGATGCAAATACCATGGTGCACAAGCGTAACTACTTTCTCTTCTCTTAGCATGTGCTATACTTTTCACAACTTACAAGATAAATATTTCTTACGTGGCAGCATTGGCATGTTAATGTAGAAGTATCCTGCTTTACTACTGCACTTAAAGGTATTATTAGGTGCATGGATGAAACAATGATGTTTGAAGTATTGGCCCTCCTGCCTCAGCTAACTAGACTAAACTGATCAGTAGGGTACTCTGGTCTGTCTTCTCTGGAGTCCCTCAACAGGACTTAACACCTTGTGATGTCTCTGAGAGAAGAGCAGTTTCTACAAAGATGAAGGCAGAAAGAAAATACATAGAGCAAACCCTAATTGTTCAGTTTTGCACTCATTTTTTTAATACAGCCACAGCTTGGATTATTACTTAGGTGTAAACTTTTAGGTTAGTTGTTGTTTCACATGATAACAATGCCAAGGTTGAGGTACTGTAGTCCAGTGTCTTTATCTTAGTCTTTTATATTGGAAGATGAATTTTTTTTCACATTGCATTTTTACGCAAGATTGAACCTACTATTTCGTTTGTTAGGTGACTCTCTTGGAGGGGTTAGATGCATTTACAAATACGTTCTCTCATGATGTCACAGTTTTCCTCTTTTGAAATAATGACTTAATTACAAATTTGAAATACCAAACATTTTAAAATCTCAGCATCTGATACAGACCTCAGGTTCACTGTCCATTTTTATTTTTTCCCCAAATTAGTGAAATAATATTATGATTGACTAAGAGTACGAATAGAAGTACATACAAAAAAAAGTGTGTAGTTTTCTGACCTGTGAAAATTTTGCAAATAGTGAGGGAAAAGCAATATTGAGCAATTTGTTGTGTCCATGTGGGGTGAGGCCGTGTTTTGTATGGAAAAAGATTAACCATCCAAGAGAGTCCATTTTCCCTAATTAGGTGGACGGAAGGCTCTCCTTCTCTATGCATGTTTTTAATTGTGTCTTTATGAATAAATTCAAACTGTCTTTGTAAACAGATGGAAATTAGGCAGAGTGATAGAATATGGATGATAGGGATCTCGTGGTCTTCTAGGCTGCAGCCTGCTTCGGATTGGAATTGGCTGTAGCTAATTCATACCACAGAATTCAGCTGACCTCTGTAAGGAAAATACAAGTTAGTCCTGCTTCAAAAACGTTGGTATGAGTTCCAAACGGCTTGGATGAATAATACCATCTTGTAGATATGTTAAGCATAATTTTTGTCAAATGCCTAATTGGAAAAATACTATAAATTTTCCTGCTTAGTGTGGTTGCCTAAATCAGTCGTGGACTGCTTTCTGTGGGCCTTCAAGATGTCTAGTCATTTATGGATCTTGAGAATATAATTCTAACAGCATCGCGTAGTGTTAGTATACCACTTTTAATCTTCAAAATGATATACAAGTAGGATCCTTTCATTTGGATCGAAATTCCGCTATTTTTTAGTGAAGTAATACGAAGAGAAATGAGGAGAAATCAGATTTTAACATGGATTTGGATCAGGAGTTTGAGATACAAGGTTTTATTTGAGAGTGTTTGTGAAAGGGACCAAGGCGTTCTCCAAAATCGATGAGGTTAGAGGACACTTTGCAAAAAACTTTCCCCTTCAGAGAGGTGAGGAATTCTCTGAGGGAAAAAGTCACTTCAAAATAGTTTGCAAGCCTGGTTTAAATTGTGGACTCTTTGATAGTATGCTTATGGCAAGCATGTTCATTAGTGTAGTCATCTGTCCTCTGAAGGTCACTAACGCTCTAGTGTAACTAGTTATCAGTTCGCTTTGACATCATACCATTCATACTGCTGCAGTCACATTTCTCCTTTACTGTCTAATCTAGATAGTATTCCTGATACTTATTCTGCCTAGAAAAAAGATTAAAAAAACTTTGGGAAGACTTGGGTGACAGTCACTTTTTTGGTTTTGATACAGGAGAACCTGGTTCCCTGGAAGCACATATCCGACAACTGGACAAAGCCTTAGATGCCAGTCGTTTCCAGATACAGCAAACAGAAAACATCATCCGCAGCAAAACACCTACGGGACCAGAGCTGGATTCCAGTTACAAAGGATATGTGCGTGTATTTTGGAGCACAAGTCAAATAAGCACTCCAAGCTTAGCTTTGCTATTGAAAGAAATATAGCTGTTTCAACAAAGCAATTAGATATTACTGCTTCTCAGACTCACTCACTCATATGGTTGCTACCCTTAACTGCGTGCTATTGTTGTTTATGTTAGTGTGTTTACAATAGCATAAGATCACAGGAACATGACTCTAAGGAATTTATTTTCCTGTTACATTTTTACAGATGTCCAAAAGTACTTTCTCACTCATGTTTTTATCCATCTAATGATGATATCCTTGTTTAAAATTCCTCTGCTTTTAAAAGTAGGTTTTATAGCTTCGTGCACAGTATTCATCTTGCTGATGAATTACAAACACACATTGTGTAAGCAAGGTTGCATATATGGAATCCGTGATTAAAAAGCTTTCTCAGAGAGGTTTTCTGGAAGAAAAATGTGTCTCTAAATAATTTAAATAATTTTATTACTGACAGAATTGAAAGATTAGCTGCTTGGATGCATAGTAATATTTCCACATGTATGTTTATTTTCTTTATTGCATCTTCTAGTGTTTTTGCCATAATGTCTTAACATTTTGAACAGATGGCACCTGAAGTCATCCAGCACAATTTGGCACAGCGGCACTGAGTTATTTCTATTTAGTCTGAACTTATGCTTTAAGCCTTTATTGTCTCCATATACATTTCTTTGATACTATCAGGACAGATTGTTAAAGTAATGGATTCATATCTTCACACTTAGACTTACTTTTGGAAAATTTTGGAAGTTGCATTGTAACTTGAATTTTCCATGCAGTTGGTCCTGTACAGTGCATATTGAGATGTGATTTTTTTTGTTTGTTAACACAGATGAAACTACTGGGTGAGTGCAGTGGAAGCATAGACTCGGTAAAAAGGCTTGGGTATAAACTGAAGGAGGAAGAAGAAAAATTATCTGGACTTATTAACCTGAACAGTACTGAAACACAAACAGCTGGTAAGTAACATTTAGTTCTCTGATGAAAAGCAATTATGAAAAGTAGCAAACATGTAAAGTTTTTCCAAATAAACACTTGGTGTTATTTACTGACATATATATTTATTTGGCTATGTCTGTTATCATGTTCTGTTTAACATCTCTTAATAGGAATGGTAAGGAATAGTAAGTATTCCTTGTATATGCCCTATAAAGAGATTAGGCATATAAGTGCATTTTAAGAACCTCTTCATATCATCAGACACAATCCTAAGTCTTTTGGAAGGTCTCTGGATGTAGTGCATTTTTGTTGAATGTTTTCTGATGAAAAAAGGTTGCTTATAGTGCTGTACAAAACATGTAAGTCAGCATTCATTTCTTCTAATATTAGCTTTCACTTCTAATATCATCTGTCTACAGTACAGAAATTTATATTCACCTGGTAGAAGTATTCACTTGACTAATTTTAAGCATCAGCTGTAGAACAGGAGGTATTGCATTGTAAAGACATGGATTTGTTCCAGAGACTATAAAAGCAACATCTTCATTCTTAGCTTCACAAGATATGCTATCCATGCAGTATGTTTTATTTTATTCATGATTTTTTTTTTATTTTATTTTAAGTTGATGGAATGATACAACTTGTCCTTCTGCGGTAGCATTTCAAGATAACTAAAAAGAAGAAATAGGCCCTATTTAATTTCTTTTTAGTGTATGTATTTATCCAATACATCAGCAGTAGCTTAGGCAAATGTAGTGAGGTGCGAGTACTAAATTGTGATATGTACAAATACCAATGAAAATAATAATAAATATGTGGCTAGTTAGACATATTCAGATTCCTTGTCTGGTTTGCATTTATGCTAATTTATGATGTCTTTATACCAGCATAACCTGTTTTAGAGACCTGCATGTATCAACTTATTTCTGTTCATAGAAGTCTGACATTAGAAAGCGGTAAAATTTCTGCTGCCTGGAGTCATCCACATTCTTCATTCTTTCTGTCCACTATCATGTTCTTCAACCTAACTTAGTTTTCAGTGTGGTGTTCCGTGGGTTAGGATTTTTTGTGTTTTATGGAGCATTTTTTTTGTCCTGCACAGAATTCAGCTGGTGCAAATGTGTGTGTGGCTAGTGGTTTTTTGCTTTTGTCAAATTTGGTATTTATCATTCCAGGTGTAATTGACCGATGGGAATTAATCCAGGCTCAAGCTCTGAGCAAGGAGCTGAGGATGAAGCAGAACCTTCAGCAATGGCAGCAGTTTAACTCTGACCTCAATAGTGTTTGGGCTTGGTTGGGAGAAACTGAAGAGGAATTGGAGAAGCTCCGCTGCCTTGATCTCAGCACTGACATACAAACTATTGAGCTCAGAATTAAAAAGCTGAAAGTGAGTTTTATTTCTCTTTTCCACGAGTTGTCTTGTAATCAGAGCTGAATGCAACAGTTATGTTGTTGAAGAGGTTGCCAATAGTTGCAGCTGGTGGGCTCCATTCTGCACATAGCAGGTTACTGCTGATAACTGAAGTAACTGGGAAAGTGATTTTATGAACCACCTTTTGGCAGAAAAATGTACCACTGGCATTTACTATATAATCCAAATGAATTCTTTGAAATAGTAATTCTGTGGCAATTCTGTAATTCCAGAATGTACAGATAATTCCAGATGTCAGCCAAGCTGATGAAAGGAGAAAGAAATTTTAAAAAAAAAAAAAGCCAAGTTAATCAAATCTCTTCTAGTCACACTGGTAACAAAATAGCTGCTTTAAAAGAGACACCTCACTGGGACCTACTGCTTTGTGTGGAGGAAGGAGAGAGTGGCCAAAGGGGTGGTAGCCTACCCACTGCTGCCACCAGTAGAACACAGGAAAAATTTGGTGTCACTTTGCAACACTCCTGTTTCTTCTTCTGTCATCTCAGATGCATCAGGATCTGAATGCTGCCTTTGTAATCTCTCCTGGGTATTTTACAGCTATAAAGATCTGCAAATGTGATGGTCCATAACTTCACATTCAGTTACTAGTGTCTTACAAGCTTGGGCACAAAAATGTGGGAGTCAATGTCAAAATGCACTGTGCTCCATGCTAGGAATGAGGTGGACAGATAGTAAAGACTGTTTCCGGCAGTGATCCATCTAAAGCATATTAATACTGATCTTCACTGTAATCCAAATATAGCTGCCATAAGTACTACACAGGTCACTGTGACATGGGGCTTTTAAGTAAATGCTGTAAAGTAGGTGGAAAAGGGGGCATTTCATAAGAATCCTGTTCTTATCTCACCCACTCTTGGAAAGCCCATTAGTGCCCTGCAAACCAAAAGAGGTGGGGTTTCTTTTGTGGCTTCCAGTGTAAACAAATCAAGAGTTTTTATACATGTCCTGCTTCTATAAATTGGAGTAAGTTGTTTATACTCTTTGTATGTTTTCTTTTCCCTCAGTAAAAGCTTTTATTTTAAAATACTGTTGACAGCAGTTTCCATTGAAAATATGTTGGTCTTTGTCAGCAAAACTGACAAGCGAGGGCACAAGTTTTATTGTGAGCTAAAGTACAGTTGTCCTACATCTCTTTAAATTCTGTTGGTCCTGCTCTGTCTTTAAAATATCTGAAACATGAGCCAGATCTTTAAAATTCAACTATGACTTCAGGCTTTTAAGACTTTACAAGTTTAATTGGCTTGTTCTAGTTTATGCTCACAGTAAAATTTTAGTAGATATTAAAGAGTAAACGTTTGCAGAGTCACAGAGAGAGCACAGAAAAGAGTAAAGAGACTGTTACAGTAAGGTACCATTTTGAAGTTGCTGGTGACAAATCATTGCATTCTTGTGGTGCCTTCTCTACTTGGCTCTTCTGAAAGTCACATTTTACTGATTTCCATCCTTTCTTCCCCTGTCCCACTTTGTCTTACCATCAAGGAGCTGCAGAAGGCAATTGATAATCGTAAAGCAATCATCTTATCCATCAATCTGTGCAGCTCAGAGTTCACTCAGTCTAACAGCGAAGAGAGCAAGAAGCTTCAAGAGCGCCTGTCTCAGATGAACGTGCGCTGGGGCCACGTATGCGGTGTGATCGAAGAGTGGCGCTGCTCATTGCAGGATGCATTAATGCAGTGCCAGGTCTGTATGGCCCTTATTTAGATTGTCAGCATCCCATATGTCAAAAATGTAAACCATATCGTTAAGTGGTGTGCTCATTATCCAGTGTGAACCTTGCCTGTGCAAGCCAAAATACAGCTTTGGCATGTGTTTTCTGAAAGATACACCTGCATTACCTGAAGCATATATTCCCAGCCCAAGATTTGCTCAATTTGTTGTCTCTGGAATAGTATTCTAATATAATATTCTACACTTCCTTGTAAGTTATGTTGTTTAGCCAGTAAGACCTATCATAGGATAAACTTGAAACCTCAATTTGACTGGAATTTTCTGCTACACTATTAAATCGTCACTCATCACTTGCAGGATTTCCATGAAATGAGCCATGGTTTGCTGCTTTGGTTAGAGAATATTGACAGAAGAAAAAATGAAATTGTGCCCATCAGTCCAAACCTGGACTCAGAAACGCTGCAGGATCATCACAGACTTCTAATGGTAGGGTTATAATCACTCCTTTCTCTCCTAAAACACATCATCAGAAGAACATCTAATCAGATTTGTCTTTCTCCCCAGGGTTAGCATTGTACTTTGCATGCTAACACACAACTGTGGGACCAATGTTGGTAACTAACTTTACTTTGGTAGGGAACACTACTTGCTTCCGTCAGTAGCATAACTCATGATATAAAATCTCAGGCAACCACTAGGCTGCGCTCTGTCTTCCTGTCAGATTAGAAATTTTTATTGCTTCTCTTTTCTTTCCATTTCATTAATTTCAAATGTCCAGTTTTGTGATTTCTAGTTTTTTTCCTTTTTCCTTTTTTTTTTTTTTAACTTCCATTAAAAAAAATCTGGTGCTTGCCTTCGCAATAGCAAATCAGACGTGAACTGCTGGAGTCTCAGCTGAAGGTGGCGTCACTGCAAGATATGTCCTGCCAGTTGCTAGTCAATGCTGAAGGCAAGGACTGTCTTGAAGCCAAAGAAAAGGTGCATGTCATTGGAAACAGGCTGAAGCTCCTCTTGAAAGAGGTCACACATCATATTAAAGACCTAGAGAAAATTCTAGACATTTCAAGTAGTCAACTGGTAAGTCATGTCTTTTTATTCCATGCTGTTTGTTGGGCACACATTTCCCGCTGTTTTGACTGTCTTTCTCTGATCAGTGCTGTTGGCTGCACCGTTTCTGTTGTTTGCAATGCTTATCAAGATGGTACATGCGTAATCTTGAATATTGTAAAGTAATCTTACACGTGATAATGTAAACATCTCTTTTGTAATGTGGTGGGGGTTTTTGACGCAGTAATTTTTAGCTATTTGATGTAGCAATAACTATTGAACATCTCGATTTGTTTATCCTGCCATTAATGATTGAGTCAGCTGGCAAAGTATATGAGATAATTATTCCAGCTGCAGTACTGAAAATTATAGTGCATCAGTTGTCATTGGAAAGGAAGATAATGCTCACTCTGTCAAAGAGAGAGAAAAAAAAAGCATAAACCCAATTCTGTAATAGGCTAACAAATCTCTCACGGTGCCTTCTGAGCTTTGAGCTGTGCTCCAAATCTTTTCACATGATCATGTATTGCAGGGTATTTGAGAGGGAGTTACGCATATATCTTTGCCAACAGTAGCAGGTATAAAGTAAAGATTTCAAGGTTCTCCTTTAGTTAACTTTTTTTAAAGTCTTGGGTTAGCAGAGTGCATAAGGCATGAAAACTCAACTCTTCCCTCCTTCTAGTGAATTTCTGCCTGTTTAAGTAAAATCTTGGTGGTACCAACCTCTTCTTGGAATTAAAGGCCAATAAAGAGCAACTAGATTTTCCCGTCTATTGACTTTGACCGCAAATGTGTCACCTAAAGCAGTTAAGTTTTAACTACCTGTTTGCTTTTCTTTTCCTTCAGGGCTAACAGAGAAAACATGTAATGCCTTATTCTTATAGAATTTGGTAACAAAATTTAACTGCTTTATTTTATTTACTTTGGAAACAGCTCTGCTGGGATTTTACTCAGGGTTTTGTTGTTGTTGTTGTTTAATTTGCTTACCTGAACAGCTAGTTGCTTGTATTTCTGAGCTCCATTCCTTCTGAACTTTAGGAATTGTCCTCATGGTCCTCTGCTGATGAATTGGACACATCGGGCTCAGTGAGTCCTGTATCTGGAAGAAGCACTCCAAGCAGACAGAGAACGGTAATTTCACATCATATGTTTTCTGCCACCTCCTGGGTGGGAGCTCTAGATGTCTACAGTAGCTCTAGCTAGCTGCAAGGCCCCCCTTCTCACTTGATAGCAAAGGAAGTAGCGTAAACCAAGAACAAAACACAGCTGCTTTTCCCCAGCCCTGCTGCATATCCCATCCTGCATGAAATCAGAAGCGGTAAATATGATCTAAAACCAGGGCTGTCAGTGTGGTTGGTTTATCATGGTATGGCATGTCGTGTCTCTTGTATTTTGCTCTAGTGATGGCAGCACCCCAAAGTCTGGTCTTGTCTGGTATAATCAGTCCTCCATTTCTGTTTGACCTTCTCTTCAGAGCTGCTTCATCGAGAATCTCAATAAGGTTTTTGTCATTTCTGAAGAAGGTTGCAGATGGTCCTATTGAGGCTTTGGATGAGTGGCTAAGTAGACCTGAAGGGCATAAAACATTATTCAAAACAGCTAGTTGCACAGAACCTAATCAATGGCTATGATGGCAACTCTGGAGTTGTCTATTTACATCGCTGGCACAAAATTCAAGAAATATAGCAACACATGCCTAGTACTTAACACTTCCATACTCTGAGCCCAAAATGGAACTGCAGTTATTTTGTCTTTTCCTGCAATTATGTTTATTGATTACTTTGCCTTTTTCCTTAGTTCTTAAAACAATCAGGTTGGCTTTGGTTTTGGGTTTTTTTTCCATTTGCACTTTTTGTAAAGCCTCCGAGTTCTGTCTTGATAAATTTTATGGCTCTTGAAATTGAATTTTTTTTTTCTTTTTTTCACATTCACTAGTTTCCTTTTAGATGCTAGTATAAGAATGTAAAGGAATACTGGCTTTTCAAAAGGAGAAAGAATATAAACCTTAACATTTTGTTTCAGAGGTCAATGCTGTTATCTTTTAAATTTAAACTTAAATAACTAATAAAAGCTCTGATATCACAGATGTAACTGAAGGATGCCTGACCATTACAGGAGATGGAGAAGTATTTTACCATAAAATCTTTATCTAAAGAGTATGTAGAATTATAATGGGTTTCATCTTAACATTTTAATAAGCATTTGTCTATCTCTAATTTGTTAGTGTTTATGTACGTGACTCCTTTTTTTCATTTTTGTCCATAATGTATAGCTAAATTGTATGGTTCGTTGGGGTCTGGTTTTCAAACTTCTGGTTTTTGCACCCACAATTTTGGAGACTGAAGTGGTGGTGTTTAAAATTTCAGCGCCAAAGATACTGATGCTAAATATATAAATACTAATACCAAAAATACAACCAGAATTATAATCATCTAACTGCATTAAATATTCCATCAAATAGTTGTGAGTGCAGGAATG